CCCCCCGCCACCAGGCCCGCCCACGTCCCCTCCGCGGAGGCCAAGCCCTGAGCCTGACCCACGGCCAGCCGGGGCCCCAGGCCCGCCCAGGCCCGGGCCAAACTGCACTCACCGCAGTCGCCCTGCCCGGGCTGAGCGACACACCGAGGGGCAGCGAGTGCGGGTGTTTCTGGGGACCCGCGGAGCCACTGCGGACCGCACAGCAGGACCAGCACCAAAACTCCTAACGTGGGGGAGGGGAGAGGAACCCCGGCAAAGCAGAAGCGAGCCTGAAAGCATTCTGAAACCAAGTCTGCGTCCCCGGAGAGAGCACGGTGCACGCAGCCTTCAGGGCTGGGAGGCGGAGGGCACGGGGCAGGAGCAGAAAGCCAGGCGCTGGACCGCCCGCCTAGTGCCACCTGTGCAGGCACGCGGGGCCCACGCTCGGTTCGATGCTCTGCCGTCACCATTGTGCTGCTTTTTGAACAAGGGATGGTGCCAACTGTGTCGCTGGTCCTGGGGCCAGGCCCCCGGGGGAGCCGCTGAGCCGGGGAGGAAACTCCAGCACGAGCTCTAGCAGCCAGGAGCTGTCAGCCTCCACGAGAAAGGCAGGTGGAGGTGTTGGCTGTCCCCGCCGGGTCTTCCTGACCTGACTTCCTACTCCAAGGCCGTCGCCAGGCCAGGTTAGCTGATGCTGAGCCTCCGTTTCCTCATCTGTAAAATGAGGCAACTGACGCCTGCCCCTCAGGACTGGTATGTGGTCTCCAGGCAGGCCCACTGCCTCATGCCGGCCATAGGAGGTGGTCAGTACCTGGGAGTGGCCCTGACGGAGGGGCCGGGTGACGACTACACTGCCGCGGGGCACAGCCCGGGCCCGAGGTCAGCCCGGAGCGGAGGGCACCCAGCTCAGCCCCTCCCCAGCCCCAGGTTTCCAACAGGACCCCTCCCTCACTTGGCCTCCAGACCACCCCTCTCAAGTCACACACACCTGGACCAACAGGCAATAATCCCTGTAGTAGAATTTCAGGCAGCCTGAACCACTCTGGATCCAGGAGACATCATCTGGGCAGGGGAACTTCCCTGGACCCCTTTAATAATTAAAATGTGACATGATCGGGCAAGCGCCCGCCCTCGGCTTGAGGACGACTGGCCAGATGCTCTCTGCCACTCACCCGCAGCCATCTGTGGTGGTTAACGAGGCAGGAAGCTGCTGCCGGCCCGACAGCCCCTCGTCCCCGCAGTCTGGACCACCCTCCCTCCCTCTACTATGGGAACCCGTGCCTGGGGATGGCACCCAGCCTCCTCGTCAGGGCTGACGTGCCCATGCCCACGGGGCACCTGTCAGCCCTGCCAGGGTTATTATCATGGGCATGAAAGGGGAGAGCTAAGAGCCAGGAGAAGCTTGTAGGCAACTTGCTCCGGGTCCCGTGGCTCGGCTGGGACACGACGCCGTGCAAGCTGCCCTGCTTCCTGCTGCTTCCTGCCTCTCCTGCCCACCCTGCAGCCCAACCGCACAGGCAGGGAGTGGAGGTGTTGGGTGGCGGGGCTTCAGGGGAACCCCAGAAGCTGCGCTGCAGGCAGGGGCGCGTGAGGTTGAAACCGACCCCCACTCGGGGCTGTGGACTGTGTGGGGTGTGGACAGAGGGCGCTCTGGCCCAGCTGTCCTGCCTTCTCCTGCCCACACCCCCGGGTCCCAGGCCTGGCGAGGGAGGCGGGGTGTTAGGGACCTTCCCTCTCCTTTCTGGATCTCCCGAGTTGACCAAAATCAAAATAGGAAACTGTTACTCTGCTGGGGCGGCGGCAAGGGTCACCCACTCAGACCTGGGGTCGGCAGACAGAAATGGCTTGTTAGCAAGGCCAGTAGGGCTCTAAGCTGTGCAGCCCCTCAGGTGTAGGTAAACCAGGCGGGCGAGGCCAGGCAGAGACAGGCCGCCTCCCTGGGCCCCGGGCTTCTCTGGGGCTGCAGATCTTGGCCAGAAAACCCTGGTAGGTCTCTCCACCTCTAGGAGAAATGGCTCTTCCTCTCCTGGGAAAGAATCTGCCTCTCAGTAGTTAAACTACCCTGGGTGGTAAAATACCCACTGCAGGCCTGGGGCCCAAGGGCTTTCTAAAACACAGGTCTCCACTCATTAAGATGCCTACCGTGGGGCTGGTGGGCTACGTCCAGAAAGTTCAAGAGACCTTGGGATCCAGGCCCAGATGGCCTTCAGGTGCCGGCAGACAGAGCAGGCCTCTGCCCTCCCTGACACTCTGACACTGCATTCCCAGCCAGGCCCTCCTGTGGCGGGTGCCGGGTGCCAGGAGAACTGGGGAAGCCAGTGGGCAGGCGGGTCAGGGAGGGGTGCGCAGGGTTCTCCCGAGGCTGAAGAGGAGATGGCCAAGCTCTACACACCGGGCCCTCAGGAATAGGTGACCCGCCCACCCACCCATGAGAAGTGGGGCTCAGGGGCCCCATGCACCCTGTCCCTCAGCACACAGGGGAAAGGGACAGAAAACGTGAGCCTCCTCCCCCCGCCCTCGCACCCCCCAGAGCCTCAGATAGACGGGTCACCACGCTCTCCCTGTGGTGCTGACTCCATCCCCCAGGCCTGAGAGGTGGCCTTCCGGGTCACCAGGGTCCAGCCAGGGCCTTCACGTGCCCCGTAGGGACGTGGCTGCACAGTAGGGAGCCGGCCCCAGCAGCAGCTTAGCACCCAGTCCTTGGTTTTGGTTTTGCTTCCTCCTGAAGTTCAGAGAGCCTGTGACGCCTGACCACCCCCAGATGGACCCAGGAGGTGTCCTCAGTGGCCCCCGAGGCAATGCCGAGCGTGGAACAGGGTCGGGGTCGGCAGGTACCGCAGGCTTCCGAGGGCTCACGTCTGCAGAGGGTGACACCCCGCCGGTCGCAGGCTCTCCGGGGCCTGTCTGCTTGTTCCCTCCAGGCTCAGCCCCGGGCTCTACCTCCAGCCAAAGCATGAATGGCATCGAGGTGGCTTCCCCTGGCCTGATGGCCAACTCCTCCCTGGCCCCCACGGAGCAATGTGGCCAAGAGACGCCGCTGGAGAACGTCCTCTTTGCCTCCTTCTACCTCCTGGATTTCATCCTGGCTTTTGTTGGCAACTCCCTGGCCCTGTGGCTCTTCGTCCGGGACCACAAGTCCGGCACCCCTGCCAACGTGTTCCTGATGCACCTGGCCGTGGCCGACCTGTCCTGCGTGCTGGTCCTGCCCACCCGCCTTGTCTACCACTTCTCGGGGAGCCACTGGCCGTTTGGGGAGATCCCGTGCCGGCTCACCGGCTTCCTCTTCTACCTCAACATGTATGCCAGCATCTACTTTCTCACCTGCATCAGCGCTGACCGCTTCCTGGCCATCGTGCACCCTGTCAAGTCCCTCAAGCTCCGCAGGCCCCTCCACGCCCACCTGGCCTGCGCCTTCCTCTGGGTGATGGTGGCCGTGGCCATGGCCCCGCTGCTGGTGAGCCCACAGACGGTGCGGACCAACCGCACGGTGGTCTGCCTGCAGCTGTACAGGGAGAAGGCCTCCCAGCACGCCTTTGCGTCTCTGGCCGTTGCCTTCACCTTCCCGTTCGTCACCACGGTCACCTGCTACCTGCTCATCATCCGCAGCCTGCGGCAGGGCCCACGCGTGGAGCGGCGCCTCAAGAACAAGGCGGTGCGCATGATCGCCGCGGTGCTGGCCATCTTCCTCGTCTGCTTCGTGCCCTACCACGTCCACCGCTCCATCTACGTGCTGCGTTACCGTGGCCACCGAGCCTCGTGCGCCGCCCAGCGTGCGCTGGCGCTCGGCAACCGCATCACGTCCTGCCTCAGCAGCCTCAACGGCGCTCTCGACCCCATCATGTACTTCTTTGTGGCCGAGAAGTTCCGAGATGCCCTGTGCAGCCTGCTGTGTGGCAAGAGGCTCCCGGGGCCGCCCCCCAGCGCCGACGGGAAAACCAACGAGAGCTCACTGAGCGCCAGGTCAGAGCTGTGAGCCAGGGGCCACCGCTCTGAGCACCGCCTCGTCCACAAGGACCAGCCCTCAGACTCACCACCAAGGAGGAGCCCGCCTCCGCCCCAGCGGCCCCGAGAAAACAAACTGCAGCCTCAGCGGGCCACCACCACCTGCTCCGAGGCCCAAACTCATCACCCGGCGCTGAGTTCTGTCTTCTCTGCCACGGAAATCCCTGAACAGGGAGCACAGAAGGGACCAGACGGCCACCCCGCTGCGGAGACTGGCCCTGCTCACTCACAGCTAGAAGACACTCAGCAACTCCACCCCCTGCTGAAGGGGCAAGGAAGCCAGAAACATTCCTGAACAATGAGCGTCTTTCTTTCCCAAGGGCCGCCTGCGAGGTTCCCAGCCTCCTTCCCCCGACAGAAACGCGCAGCGGTGAAGCTTTGCAGAGAGGACGCCGGAGACAGCTGCAAATGGCCCACGGGAAGAGGGGGGCACTAGAAGCTGGGCGGGGGCGGG